AGAAAATCGTGAATAGTATTTGTTACAATAGGCTTCATTCACAAGCCAGTCATGCATGGTTAAGATAATCACTCCATTATATTTCCTCAGGTAGTAAATTCGAAAGATAATACAGTATAGAGAGATATAGTGACAATAATTTTTAGTTTTCGGTAAATAAAACGAGTACCGGTATCTTAGTGTGGATTTTTCATAAGATCATAGTTTTTGGGTTTAAAACCATAAAAAAAATCAAAAACGAATCAATCACAGTTACATTAAATTAGGTTGTTATACGAAAAAAATAAAAATAATCTTCCACTGATAAGAGAATAAGAATAAGAATAAGAATATGTGTATTGTCTTTCAGGCTACATAAGCATTAACAAAGTCAAATTTACAGCAGAAATGCCAAGAAATGCTATACTAATAATTAGGCCTAAGGGTAATATCACATATCATAGAAATATACAATTCATAGGAACTATACAAGAATAAAAAATTATACATAACAGATTTCAAACATTAAAATTCTATCTGTTTTAATAAGAAAAATTCACTAAGTGAATAGAAAGGATTTTTAGATAACCACTCATTAAAATTGTTCTTAAAAACTTTAACAGTATATTTCTTACTAAGATTAATTACTTTATTATATCTTAAGGGATAGTACTACATGACTAGACAGTGATTTGCTGAGCCTATTTTACTCAATTGATAGTGCCATAGATGCCGTCAACATTACACCTATTAAACAGATTTATTTAAACGTTCAATTAGATCAAGGATAAAGTTAATTGTAACATTTTCGTAATTAAATAGAACGTTAACACCAAAGAGAAGATAGTAAATAACTTGACAAAGAGGCTAAGAGGTGTCTGGAGAAATGCCCAAAAACTCTGTCCCTTAGTTAATGTGGTAATGGCTACAGAACTCACTTTGTTCATTTGCACTAAATCTCCGGTGTTTATTTTATAATTTTGTAACTCTTCGTCTGTAAATTTGTTCACTTAATTACTTTTCAGTATCTGTTTGTGTCTAATCATGATTCATACAAGCAACTTCCAATCAAAGCAATTAGCAATTTCCTTAAATCTCATGGTAAAACATAGCTCCAGTAATAAATATTTGTTTGTTTGCAATGTTCTTGACGATAAAATAAAATGAGGTATTCTAATGTGTTATAGGGATGGAAAACTGTTTTGTAAAGGTAATTAAAATGTAAGTAAAACAACTAAAACTAAATTGATCTTCTAATTCTTTAAAGCTAGTGTAACGTCAGACTAATTAACAGGCAGAAAAGAAATCTCATTTCATTTTCAGAATGTTTTCCTGCTACCAATTTACTTTTACATGTGCCATTTTATAATGACTATCCTCATTATTTTCCCACAACTGAAATACCCCTTTTTTAATACCGCCCATTAATATTCCACCCCCAAAGGGATGAAATATTGACATTTTAGACATCTACATCTACATATACCTCTAAAATCTAAAGAATCTCTTTAGATGTTATTTCTAATAATCTCTACCTTTGAAAATTTAAGCATTTAATCGCGTAGGCCTAACTAAAATGAGGGTGTAAAATAGTTCAAAATGCTCAAAAGCACCCATCATAAGTGGTACTTAAAAAATTGTTAATGTCTTTAAATGGTTGAAATAAGAATAATTAATATTAGTTTGTTATTTCAATTTAGTATAAACCTGTAGCACTTTGAAAATGAATAGTTAGTTACCAATCTAATTAAATTTTTAACACATAGATGAAGTTAGAGTAAGATGTATCTTCCTTAGAAGTTTATTTAGCGATGTCCATAACTAATTCGTAATTTCAAATCATAATTCTAAATGATGACGAGACAGGGAATTCTTTAGTTGATGACAATCTTTATGTTAAATGTGTTTTACCTTAAACAATCAAGAAATCAGGGGAAAATCAAGAATTTTGACCCCAGGGCAGCTACAGCCTCATATTCAGGGTCAGACTGACATCAAGTTAAGGGATCGATTATTGAGGGGGCGGGAATTCCCCCCCCCCCCCGATGTCCACCCCCCCCCCCCTAGCTGTCATTGTCAAGGGCCTAGACAGCATAAACAAACTCATGTAAAACAATGTTTGTTCTTTGAAAGGCTTTCTTACCTCAATGTTTTGGAGTCGTTTGAATAAAAAATGTATTGTTTATGATTAGATAGTCACTGAGTAATGGAAAATCTATTTTCTTTCAGGATGAGACACTATAGCCTCGTAATTCTAGTCATACAAATTGCACAAGCATTGGTTTATTTACAATTAAAATTATCTAAAGGATTGCAATATTTCCTATACCATAGAAGAAAGATGTCAATAACCTGTACACTTAAAACATCTAAAAATTAATAAGGGATTAAATATTTCAATCAATTAAAATGTAGGTTCAAATTTTTGAAAACTCAGGTTTTGAGTCTTGCTACTGGTTTCGCAAAATCGGATCACGTTCAAATTGTTGTTTTAGGATGAAATTAAGCATAAAAAACTAAGGTTTTTACAGTTCATTTGTTTTGCACAAAAGTAATAGTGTTCTATTGTCCTTTAGATTTATTTCATTTCTAAGTTTTTTAATGTCAAAGACTCTTTTACAAAGAGTTTGTTAAGGTAAAGTTCAACTGCCTGTCTTTTACCATTAGGAAAGCTAGCAAGTAGTTTACGCATTGCAAGAGTTTGGTGCTGAAAGATACTGGTTTTTGTTGTTAGCAAGTTCGATTCTGCACCTCTTGCACTTTTTGTGCTATCAATTAATGACGATATCTAACAAAAAACTCATGAGATTAAAACATTACCAAATAGAACGATGAAAAATCATAGTACTATATCAATTATCAAATAAATTTAGATCAGGATTCACAATCAATTATTTAACTACGATTTTTATACAATTACATTTCTACAGTTCATTCACATTAAACAATAAAAATATAAAAAGATTTTATGTAAAATGAAATGAATCCTCAAAGGCAACGCTAGAGCAAAGGTTAAACTTAATTAGCAAATTCTCTGGAGTGCTTAAACGAAGGCCAGATTCCATAAGTTCTTTTGAATTCCTTTATTTTGCTAATTTTAATTTTAATAGTTCATTACTTTCTTGGATTTAATAAATAAAAACTAATCAAATTTTAAACAGTAACCTACATTGAATATCAGAAAATAAATAAATAAGTTTGTTACATTTCAAATTGAAACACCGTAAACTAAATAATATCAAAAGTTGAACACAATTATTGGTATTGAGAAAATTCTTAATCAGTTACAAACATGTTGAAACAATACCTATGCAAATTTCGCTTTAAGAAATTGAAAGAGATTTGAATAAAGAATGCTAATTCTCATCTAAAGCGGGGAATTTCTTGACTGAGAACAAAGGGAGCTCTCCAGGTACCTTCCTCATTCATATAAATGAACACTGATGCTGACATTGCAGAGGGGGAATTGTAACCCCCTACCCCATTCCTCTCCTGCAAAACGGTATTCCCGAAATCCTTGATATTTGATGGGAATCGGTGAAATTGAGTTTTTGTCAAACTAAATGGAAATCCTGTTCTAGTGATTGAAAATCGATCCTTCCGTAACACATCTTTTTGGGAGGGGCAAAGGAAATATATTCTGCAGATAGTGGTTAATTTTTAACAGCTTTGGGGTCTTATTATGATGAGCATTTAGAGTATAGTGTAAATATTATGTATCGTGTTTATATACAAATTGAAAATGCAATGCTATTTTTTTCTAACAATACTAAATAATAATAAAAAGGTTTTACCATGCAAGCACTTTTCAACAACAATTCTGAGCAGAACAATTCTGCTTTTTCACAACATCTCTTCATTAATGAAGTTAAATTACATATTACCTATGATTAAAAGTGAAAGAAGTGGACTTGAACATTTTTTATCATACTGGTGTACGTCTTATCTTCTTCTACATTATGTTATTATAGAGGGAACTAACATCGACATCCATTCATAATCTGACAATCTTAATGTTCATATTAGGATTATTGGTTAGTGTTTTGGGAGAGCAACTGATACGGAGTAGAGCCAGAACTTCTGTCCTAATGAGTAATGATCCCAGGCTAAAATTCCAACAATCTAAAATGACAGTTTGTTAATCTATAATACAGTTAGTGATTTGGATCACTCGTTAACATGTATACAAAAAAAACATCACGTAAAAATAATTATGAGAATTAGATGAAGAGAACTCATGTATTATAAGATATACAACTCCCTTAATTTATATTTGCATTTTTGAATTAGTGGATGAATGAGTGACAAACTGAAATATACTCTTCCCTTTCCATTTTCAAAAACATGATTAAATATTCATTATTTTCAATCAAATTTTGCAATAGGCCTATCACCCTTTGGAAATGTATAAACAATTTATAAAATAAAATATGATAATATTATTTTTGCAAAAATGTATACTTATTAAAGCTTCGAGTTTATACATTTTTATATCATACAACCTATTGATTATAAATAAAATTGTTTTAGTATTATATAGTTGCACTAATTGAATGCGAAACAAGATTTGATTCACTAATAATGCTACATGAAAATTAAACATAAAATAAAAATATATACCATAATTAACCAAAATACTGTGTTGAGGAACCAGAGATAATTAAATTTGACATGTAAGCTTTTTTATAAACATATATTTAAAAATTGTAAGTATGCCTACATAGCTACGATTTTAAAAATATTAATACTTTAAATTACAGGTATTTTAAATTGATTTTAATATCGATTTTGACTATAGTAAATTTATTGTTAACGAGGAAATAGTTATGAATATTATTCAAATATATAGAACATTGTATATCAATTTAAAAGTATTATAAGAGTAAAACATATCAATATAAAGTAAGTATAAGTAAAACGCTGTAAAATCAATTAACTCACAAATAATAATTTAAATTTGTAAATTTCACTTATCAAAAAATACACAATTAAATTGCATGACAAAATTTATAAATAACTACCTGCTATCCACAAGACAAAGATAGTTGGTATCATTCCGGTAATCAGCAATCGTGGTTCACTAACAACTATCACCCTTCCCTGGACAGCGGCAAACTGAGCAGCCTGCATCCCTAAACTGCCCCCCCCCCAACCCCCCCCCTATATGTCAGGGGGAGGCCACGAGGGGGGGCAATTGGTGTACAGTGTTGGTATTCACTCCTTGTTCCCCATATGAGAAGTCCCTCCCCCCTTGAAATGCCTCATCTTTAGCACGTTAGGGGTTGGAATTATGTTGAAGCAGTGTGGTTATGAATAGGAATTACTTAAAACAGTGTTTCATTAAGCCACATAACAATTAGGTTTCAAAATTCAATTAGTTTGTTTTTGTGTGAATAAGATGTAAGTTGTAATATAGGATTTGAAAAGATTTAGTGATCATGTATAGTGAAGCTTTTTGAGTTATTTTATTCACTCACTATTGATTTTTATTTTATAGTATTACTGCGCTTCAAGGCCAGGAAGTAGGCAAAAGCATGATAGTTCCTGAGCTCATACCTTTACCAGCTCGATTGGTTGTGCAAAATGCTTTATGCCACACTACAAGTAAGAAATAAACCCATACAAACAACAACAACATAGTTAAATACCATTACCATTTGAGATGGGGATGTCACATACATGCGTATTACCATTGTGTTACCTAATGTTCATTCAACCTTTTAAAAGAAAAAAGGGAACACTTTTAATACCCCCGCCGCAGCAAACCTGCAGACTAAGCGAATTTCCATTTGCCTGGTTGGATTTACACTAAAATGTCTCCTTAAAAATATCACATTTATTCCCTATTTAAATCAAATCAGTTTAACACATACTTAGGTTTGCTGCAACAGGGAGGGTTAAAGTGTTTTTTTATGTAAAATGTTAATAGTTAGTAAGAAATAAAAACATTTTCCAAATTTGGGCAAAATATGTTAATAAATAAGCAAACTACAACAGTTTACTTATCCTCCATAAGAATAACATGGGAATTTTAAATTTAAAATTTTTTTGAATTTTCTCCGCAACCATTAGGCGCATTATAACGCTTCAATATACTAAATTATTTGTTTTTTTAAGCTCTACAAAATAGTTTGTAAAGAAATTGCAAAAATTTAAGTTTTTTGGGTCAAAAATGGGAAAAACCCATTTTTACCCCATAAAAGCCCCCATAAACCCCCGTTCCCATGGTCCGATCATGCTGGTTCGCGAACTCGTTCGAATAAACGTAGGTTTACACGTTTGTACCAAATTTCATCAAAATCGGATCATTTTTGCTCGAGTTATCGCGCTAACGGACACATATATATATAAATATATATATAAATAAATATATATATATATATATATATGAATTTGAACGGATGCTATTTTTGGCCTCTAGGGACCTCAAAACGAAAAAAAAAATCGGTCCCGGGTCCAGGTCTTACCATGAGTACTACGGTAATAGCTTATTCCCTATATGGGAAATTCGCTAAAAGGGAAAAGTTTATAGACATTTCTAATATTTATTGTGAAAGTGTTATGTGCCTGTCCAAACTTGCTTGATAATTTTTGTGTAGCTTCTCTTAGAGAATACTGAAAAATATGCCTTTTGAAAAATCGATCTCCAGCTGATTTTAATGGACCTCAGCTGATTTTACAAATTTTTTACTGAAAAACCAACAACTGTTTGGCCTACAAAGAGACCAGAAACCAGCTGCTTACATGTGGCAAAATACATGTAATCAAGTTGTGGAGTAGAGAAGAAGAGGAGTATGAGGGGAGCCTATTGTGCTAGAAGATGAATACCCCTTTCAAGACACATCTGGCTTATTTCGAGAGAAAAAGTTTATTATTTTTGCATTTAATTTATATTTTTCACTCTTATTACCACAACAGTAGCAGTTGTTAATGACATAGATTTCTGTATAATATAAAAATGCCATTATTTTTTCAAATCATTTAAATACTGTTGCAGCAAATCTGCAGACTCGGCAAATTTCCAGATGTTTTATTCACGGGTTTATTTTTTTAAAAGTAATTTACTGCTATAGTATAAAATAGAGCTTTTGTTTGAATATATATATTTTATACTAGGCCTATATGTATAGGATAAAACAATTGGATTGACCACTTGTGTAATCGTAGCTGCTATGAATAAGTCAACAAATTATTTTCAATTTAAATTCCAAAATTAAACTATGAAATAAAACATTTTCAAAATTTTATTATTATTTTATTTACCATCTCGCTTTTTCGTAATATATTGGATCTGCAGTTTTCTCACACAGTAACCAGTTTTGAATATTGTTGAACATTTTTATTGAGTTTCTAATAATTATATTAACATGCTAAATGTAGTAGGGCTACAGAGTTAAAGAGCATTTATTTACTGATTTGAAGTTTTTTTCAATTGTATGCCTAAAATTACAGGTTGTAAATGGTAATGAATAAACTATGTTATCACTAGTTCTAAACAAGACTTTTCAAATCTTTTGTTCAATTGAAGTACTTGGAAAGTTGTTTTAAAGTTTATATTTGTTTTGTAATATAAACTAAATTAGTGTCAGTTATTACTTTAATGATCAAATATAATTAAAAAACTACAGCATTGAAGAACAAAATATGATACTTACTGTAGAAAAATTAAATAAAACAAAGTGTATTTTTGTGTATTTAGAGGTGGAAATGTTGAACAAGTAATATAAGATTCTCGCCCTGAGAGATGAAAGCTGCAACGTTTCAATAGCAAGTTTCTGATCCTGCCACAAGCTGCGTCTTCCTATAACACCTTCATCACAGCTTACCGAGGCTTACATGTTTCTTTCCATCTTATATAAAGGGACTTTTTATAGCAGACCAATTTTATAAAAATCTAGGACTACTTTTTTTGCATTTTACTATCCCACAATGATGTGTTTTACTCTTCCTGATTTATATTATGGGGTCATATTACTTTGGCATTGAAATGACAGAAAACAGCTGTAGAATAAACCAACAATCTGGATGGTTCTCAAAGCTGTAGCATGTAAAAATTATTTTACCTAACCCGCCATGTTAAACTTCCCTATCCCAAGCGTGATGTATACAACTTCCTTACTTCTCGAGTGGTGTAAAGTTGAAAAAAACTCACTCGGTGATGTAATGAAACCCATTTAAATAACATTGAGTGGATAACTTAAAAAATATACCTCTATGGAGCCAACGACGTTCAACGCTAGAAATCAGCTGTGTGTTTGAATTTTATTGTTATGCTTTGAAGAATTTTCCTAACCTAGCTTTTGTTTGTAAATGAACGTTACTGTTAGAAGATGAGTGAAATTGATAATGAAGCATATTGCCCGTAACCTCCAGAATATTGTCGGGTCAGGTAAAATCTTGTACGTTACACGTTACGCAAGAGCGTGTTTACATCACTTCGGTGAATTATGCAACTCGCCTTCGCTCGTTGCACAACATTCACCTGCGTGATGTAAAAACGCTCTTACTACACTTGTAATGTAAATAGCTATTAGATCATTGCAAATTATAACTTTTCCCCCACCTGTTATACATAGAGTTACTGCATGTAAATGAAAATTAACTCTTCATCAAGAGGACTTAAAATTATAATTACAGCCCAAGATATGAGCGTAACCTAAAATTAACTCAAGACTAAGTAAATGAATCAATAATATTCCAACAGCACAGTTTGTTCAATCAATTTTAAATTTCTTTAAGAAAACTTTAAAATTATTCTTATTTATGATGATTCAAAAAATAGTTTCCACAATAATATTCGTCCTCCTCTACAGAATTTGTGAGATACAACTTATTAAACGATTTTAGATTTTACTTAGTAGATCAGCCGATCAGCCATGATTTTTCTAGGTTTGATATTGTCCTAAGCCCTAGAAATCCTTAGATAACTATAGTTTAAGAACTAACTGAAGATGTGTTAAGGATAGATGGGTTTTTTATTTCAATGTTTAGTTAAATGTTAATTAAATAGGGAATAAATCTGGAAGGTCTAAGGAAATGTTTTTACAAAAAACCAATACAAAATGTAAATTTTCTCAATCTGCAGGTTTGCTTCGCCACGGGTATTCATCTCTTTCAAATGATAGGTACTGCCTAAATTACAATATATATTCAGTTTTAACCATAGCTAACCACTAAAAACATGTAAGGAAACTGGCAAACTTTTCTACACCCCGAGAATAAAATAGCTGAGAACTTTGTCTAACTTCAATATGTTCTCTCAAGTTTTCACTAACTTAGTTAGAAACAATAACTCAATCCTTCGTGCGTGATCAAAAGGCTCCTTCCTTTCAAGTCTTGCTTCTAAAGTTTGTTGATGGTTAATCTAATTCAAACTTCGAGAAAATCATTACTATGACACATATTTTACAGCTAATCATATATCAACAATCACTTACGGTACCGTATGTAAACAAAAATATATTTTGTTAATATTCAGTCTAGTGTATACAAAACAGTATGCAGGTATATATGGGTACTGTTCAGTAGTAATAGTGAGTTGATGACTATTTTTGCAAGAGACTGTGAAAAACCAAAGCAGCGATGTTGAGGGTTCAAGTCCCAATGATATCACTATTATTGGTACCGTTCATATACCACAACTTCACATCTTGTTTTGCCTCATATATTCCATATATAGAACCTGAGGATAGGTAAATTCATGATCAAAGAGACTGTAACCTCTTTAAAAATTTTATATTAATCAGATGATGATCAGCATACTACTCATCTCATTGCAAAATCTAGAGCCTGTTTAGGTATTTTTATAGTATATCTGTATTACTCAATATTACTATTATTGAATGTGTTACTAGCATAGTGATTAGTGTCTTGGACTTCGATGCAGGAGTGGGTTCGAATCTCAGCACATTTACAACAGGGGTACAAAAATATGATAATAAATCATAAACTCACAATTTTGTATTAAAATTGTAAAAACAATATTTGAATTGAGAGTGAAATGTCGTAATGTTTGACATGCAAGTGAACTTCCCACCTGTACAAACATCCCCTGTCACAAGTGATGGATTATCGGTTTAACAGTGTTCTCTCCAGCGGATTAATCAATCTTTCTACGCCAGTGGACCACCATGTCTTTATAACTGGTTATTCAATTGTACTCGGTGATACTGCCAAAACGCTAGTAAATTCAGTAAAAAATTTAATTAAAATCATGATTATTAATTTATGACAGTCGTTAGACCACTTAGTTAGTTCCTTTGGGTGTTAAAACATCTTTCATAATTAATTTAATAATGTTTTATACTAAAGTAATAGACTATTAAGTAAATTTTTTTCATTTATTTGGAAAATCCAATATTCTCAATAACGGCCCTAACGATTTTGATAGAGATGTATTATGTTATAATCCTTTAAATTCCAAACAAATAGGTACAACTCCCATCCTGTAAAAATTACGGGTTGAAAGTTATTGTAACTTGTTTTATTTTCCTATTAAAAACCCCATTAAATAAGAGAAAATCAGGTTTTTGAGAAAAAACTAGTTTTTAATTGAAATTAGTATGTTATGGTCCTTATAATTATAAAAAAATAGTGCAACCGCCCATTGCTGTAAAAATTACGGTTCAAATGCTATTGCAAGTTTTGTGATTTTCCTATTATTCATATTCAAACATCTTTATTCATCATAAGAAATGTAGTTTGGTGGGGTGGTGGATAGTGTCAAAATACATACAATAACAATACTATTTCTATTTCTGGGAGGTGGAAAACTCATCAAAAGAATATAATGCTAAATTTATTATATACTCTTTTAGAATTTTCTTGATCTTGAATAGGTCCATTTTTTTTATGAACTCAGGGACAAATTTTAGAAAATCTTTACCAGCGTATGAGGGTTTTTAAAAAAAAACATTTAATTTATGAAGCTGGACAAACTCTCTTCTCCTCCTGAAATTATAAGAATGCACTGAATTTATTACTCCCTCTGATTAATTTTTTTGCAATAAGAATTGTTTAATAATTATATTGCTCATAAACTGTAAAATTTTGTAATTTCTTAACATTTTCTTTTGCTGAATCATCTCGTTAAAGCTTAAGCATAATTTTGATAGCCTATTTTTGCCGCTTCAGAATAATATACAAATATTAAATTTTTTTGTTGACCCATACAACGCAAAGCCGAATGAAAGATGAGAGTGAATGTGAGCAAAATATACTTTTTAGAGGTTTCAAATTACAATAAAAAGACATTTTTTATATGAAAATATTCCAAAATTACTCCACCAAAAATATCACAGTTACTCCCTTCGCTTACTCATGATAAAGATTGTTGACAAACAAATGGGAGAAAGTATGAGTCAGATTGCTGATACAGTTTATTTTTAAATTTTAGTGCCACTGCAGTTCGTGAACAGTAATAAAGACAAACAAACAACCATAACACATGTTCTTGTGCCATTAACTGAGTAATTTTCTAAGGAACAGCGATTGAACACGTCTTCTGGTTCAATGTTGTGAATTTTCTGCACAGCTCTTCATAAAAACCAGGAAACTATTTACACTTTCATTACAAAAAATGTTAATACTTTAATTCAAGATTGATTTAATAAAATAAAGTTGTTGTCATAGTAGGATTTATGTGAACCAAGGCCGTAAGAATAAATCCAGGCAATAACAAATTTAAGCACCTTAAAAAAATGCATGTATGTTACAATAAGTTAGTCAGGTACTTTGTGTATTTTCAGCTTATAATATGTACCTATTGTGTGTGCTGTCATAATGAAGAGATCAAACCCTTCAGGTACTTGAAAGTATAGAAAAATTAACCTTTTTTGACACTAATTGATTTGAAGTTATCTCAAAATTATTTCAACTTGATATTGATGATATCTTAGAACTATTATGGATCCAAACAAATCCATTCTATTAAGTTTTTGATTATTTTATAAATTGTTTTTATCAATTAATTACTGTTATAAAGGATTAATTGTGCACCACTTTCACAAAAGACGTGAGACAAGCGATCTAAGTGGCCCTTTCCTCCAATCAATACAAGCTTCATCAGTCTTTAGAAAATATATTGCCTCTCTCCGTCTCTGCCAACTAGATTTACTTGTGATTTAACTTGTCAACTTGAACTTGTAATTTAAATTTCTCTTTACAAATAAAAAAAAAACTTTTTAAAACCGAAAGACAGACTAAAATAATTGAATCTTACGATTACAATGATTATATTTCACTAAACTATTCAAAAAAGTTATTACTACTGAAAAATTGTATTTGATAAGGTAGGAAAACAAACCAAACCACTTTAATCAACATTTATAGATGCTCAAAGTTTATGTATGTCAATTAGCATCAGCATTTATGGGAAGTACTGGAGAAGTTAGCATTCTAATCAGTAAATCTTATAATTTGTGAAACCTGTTCTCAAAAAACAATACAGAGAGTTGAGAGCACGTTTTGATGTGTATATATACTGTAGACAAGGTCAGTAATACCAACATCGCTTCTCAGTTGGTGTTCACTAGTTCATCATGATGGTTCAATCCTGGGTACTCTTTCCATTGGCTCTAGCTGTGTTTACTTCTTCTCAGATTCAAACTGCATCTGCGGATGATAAAAAAGTGGTAATTATCATTATTTTCTGATGGATTATTATTTTAGTATCATATTTGCACTAAATAAATCTAATTTTTGTTAGTTTTTTCTCAGAATAAAATAACATCTGCGGATAAAAAAGTGAAAATTATTTTTATTTCCTGTTGGATTATCTTAGTTTTATCTTTGCACTGAATAAACGTATTTGTTGTTAGTTATTTCTCAGAATATCTGCAAATTAAACTACATTCATTATTGTTATTTGCTTTTTTTTATCTTGGCATCAAAAATGGCTGCTACACTATAGGAGTATGAAAATAATTAGAATTTAATCATTTTCAGAAGAGTCTTATGAGTAAAAATAATTAGGTTTGTAACTGGCCATGTTAATATTCCTACTCCTATTAATACAGCTTTCTTACGTGTCTTGCCCCAGAATAGATTGTCAATTTACGTTATAAAAATTTAGTTAAACTCCACAGAAGTATGCCACTGTCCCAAACTAAATATAAGGAAAAGTCTATGATAAAGTATCGTATGTAATAAGCAATTTCCAAATGCAAGGGTTAATGAAGCATTTATACAGCTATTTTGTGTATTAGGAGCGCAAAGTATGTTATTGCCGCTCGAGAACTAAAGGGGATGGCCGCACAAATCTTTAGATGAGTGTGGCCATATATTTCGAGAGTGGCTATAGCTGTTTGTGGTCGTAATACACCCAAGATCTTTAACTACCATCATAATAAACTTATAACACAGATTAACTTTTTAGATGTACTTAAAATATCATTTGGGTTATGTTTGCTTTTTAGGGTTATATTATTTCTTACTGGTTGTTAACTACTTACTGGATCCACTGATGTGGTTGGTCTAGAAACAACAACTGGGAAATCAGCTAGAGCAGCAATGAGCAATTTTGTGTACTGTTAACAGGTATGGCAATGTGATAATTTCCATTGTTCAGAGAATAGGTATTCTTTAAACCACTTTGACTCTCGTTTATTTGCAAATCTGTCTATAAAGGTTTATTCATTGGGATCGAAAGAGAAAGATGATTTTCAAAGTCTAGGGACCAATATTGCAATAAACTATCAACTGCGGCAAACTTCAGCATATTTTATGCCTTAAGGCAACATTGTTGTACTTTTTCTCTCCTGTGCATTGTCTTACTAAGAAACAAAAGGCTGAGAAAAAATTTAGTACACCTAGTAAAATTAATAACGCCAAACATCTTTGGCCAGGAGATGAAAAATAATAATAATACATTCATTTTACTATACAGGTACAGGAAATATAATGCTAACACATCATTGTGCATATTTTAAGACGAAGACCAGTGAACAATGGGTCGAATGGATGAGCAATGAGATGATAGTGGGTTGACAAGTTGAGCAACCGATTTAATTTCCACAACTATTTTTCAGCCATGTTACGACAAAAACGACTGTGGTCTTAACGGCCAAGTATGCAATTATTCAACAGGGAAATGTGTGCGGAACCCCTGCAACACTGTGCGCCCTAAGAAGGGTTACACTTGTGTGGTGGTGTATGAGGATGAAGATGGTTACCCATGTCCCCCCGAATGTGATTGTCAACCAGACTATCATGACAAGGTTGGTAGTTTTGTGTTAAAATGTTAAAAATGATGGTAATATTGTACAGAGATTTGGAATTCTGGTTTTACTTTCTTTTAGACATTTAGTGGGGAATATAATTAATTATTCTTTGTGACAATAATGCATACTTGGGTTCTTATTTTAAGCTGAAAGTTAATGTGGTGTAGAATGTCTTACTTCTATCTTCCCTGCAGCAGCAAACCTAATTACTCAATAAACCTAATTTCATGTTGAAGCTTGGTTTACACAGGTAGAGTTTAGTTTCTAGTCAAGTAACTCTACTCATGTAAACATTCACTGCATTTTTTTAGTAGGCGTCTAGTTGCTAGTGAAGTAGCTAGTAGGTGGTAGGAGCTACTAGCAGCATGTTGGAAAGTAGCTCTACTCTACTTCCCCCACCACTAGAAAAATTGTCACACTCTTTTACTTTAAACTTAGATCTTTCTACAGCGATGAATATTTGTCTTGGCAAGAACTTGAATGACTATAAATAATGTTTTCACTGCAAAGACTCTAATCAACTACATTTTTTAAGTTGACAACTCATTGTATTGATGCCTTTTTCAATCTTTAAGATTGCAAAATAAAATACTCTTGTATTGTGTAAACGTGATCTTTTGGCAGTAGAGTAGAGTTTTCAGTAGATTGACGCTGTCTTGTGACTGGTTTCAAACACTTATTTTGGGAATGGAGGATAATGTCTACTCTTTTGCTATTATCACTTTTTTATCACTTAAACGGCCCACGAGGAGTCCCCTTAAGGGATGATAGCTTAAAAAGTGATCATAGCTTAAAAGATATTTATGGCTATTATTATTGATAAACCAAGTCTCATTACTTAATCTATATCGGTAAAAAATATACTACACCGTTCCGGAACTTTTCAACCAAACTGTAAAGTTTATTTCATAACAAGAGTAGAAAGTGAGTCATTACATATCTGAGACCATCAATAGTCAATGAAATGATGAAAGTGCGAGATTTATAGAAAATTTACTGATTGTACGAATAATAATAGGTTAAATACCTTTGCCCGTCTTCAGTCCTTAATAATAGTCTAGGGATTATTTTGAATGCCCAAATTTAAACCCACACAAATTAGTCCATAAATCCGACGGATATCTTCAATAAATAAACACACTTCAACACACAAAGTTCACATTTTGACTCAGATACAATTAAATTAAATGTAGGCCGACCACATTACGTATAGGTACAGGACAAACCGACAAACATTGCACGGCGGACATGATGGAAATAGTCGTTGTCCAGTTGGTAACATTGACCTTTGTGGTAGGGGTTAATCAGTTAAGCAACTTACTAAATTTCCACAACTATTTTTCAGCCATGTTACGACGAAAACAACTGCGGTCATAGCAACAAAGTATGCGATTATTCAACAGGGAAATGTGTGCCGGACCCGTGCAAAACTGTAGACTGCAAGAAGGGCTACACTTGTGTGGTGGTGGATGGGGATTGTCATGACGATGATTACCCATGCCCTCCCAAAGGTGAATGTCAACCAAACTATCATGAAAAGGTTGGTAGTTTTGTGTTATTAAAAATTAAATGTTGCTAACTTTGTGTGGAGATTTGCACTTACGGTTAGTTTTATTTTCTGATACTTGTAACACTTACTTGAGTTGTAATAATTGTCGTCTTCGTCGTAGACCAATGAAAATTAGTAGTCAGTTAGTATCAGAAAGCCAAGAAAGATAGAAGGATAGACATTAAGCTGGGGAAAAATTAATTATTAATTCTTTGAGACAATTAGTGCACAATTCTGTTTTGCTTCTTTTTATATTAGACCTAGTATATAGGAGGAGGGATTTCTCTTTTTAGAAAATTTCCCATTCTTTTTATTAAAAATCATCCGATTTTGATTTAATTTGGTACAAACATGTAAACCTACATTTTTGAATGAGTTTGCGAACCAACATGCTCGGACTGTGGGAAAGGATGTTTATGGGGAAAAATTGGTTTTTCCCACTTTTGACCCTAATAACATACAATTTTACAATTTCTTTCCAAATCATTTTGTAAGGAACGAAAAAGAAATAATTTAGTATGTTGATGTGTTTTTGCAGAGTTTATTGGTTAAAAGGGGAGAAAATTAAAATTTGTAAATTTAAAATTCATATGTTATTTATTGTTTATGGATATATTTTGATCAAACTTGACATATCTATTATGTAGTGAATAACATTTCTCTAGTTAAGTAACACCTTACCATCTTCCCTTTTGCAGCAAACCTAATTACTCATTAGCCCTAAGGGAACGAATCTGACATTTTTTAGAAAAAATTTCAATTCAGGTAAATTAAAATTCGCTTAACCTGCAGGTTAATTTAATTTCCAACTTTTTTCAGCCATGTTATGAGAAAAACAACTGTGATCATAGCTACCAAGTATGCGATACTTCATCAGGGAAATGTATGGATAACCCCTGCAACACTGTTCGGTGCAAGGGGGGCTACAAGTGTGTGGTGGTGTACAAGAAATGTTCTCATGATGAATACCCATGTTACCCCAAAGCTGAATGCCAACCAATAGATGATAAGGTTGGTAGTTGTATGTTAAAAATGTTTATAATATTGCACAGAAATTTTCAATTCTGGTCAGATATATTTTCTGATAGACTTAATTGTACCGGAGATATAAAAGTAAAGTAGTAAGTAGTAAGTAAGGTCGAAATAATGTCAAGTAGTCTTCATTTAAATATTCCTCGTAGTGGAGTTTGTTGAAAGTTTAATAAATAAGTAACAAAACACATAACACGCAACACGAAACAAAACATTTAACACTGGTCGACCTGTCGGTAACAAACACATGCTACGGAGCCTTACGACCTAATGATGTGCTCAATTTGAAGCATGAAACAGTTGTAGTCTTAACAATAGTTCCGACGATAACAAGTATTTTAAACCACTATATAGTTAATTCAGACAATCCAGAGGCCATTCCTTAATGAAATTAATCATTGGCAACTTTTTGATTGTAGGAGAGCACTATAACTCCTCAGCTGCCCAGTTATGATTTTTTACACATTTTTATGAAAACTAGAACGTTTAGAACAGGAACTCTTGCCGCGTTTTTCATTGATTTTACATCTCTTTCCTCTTAGATACAAAAACGATTCAACCAAGAAAAAGGTCTTTTGGCTACACTACTGTGAAAAGACCTGTTTTTTTGCATGTTTATCACCTGCGAACATCCATCATTACATTGTTTACTACGGAAAAAGAATGTTTACTGTGCAAAAGTAATGTTAACTATCTTCTTTGGATTTCGCCGGGGTAAACAAACAAAGATTTGTTATTGGTCTGTCAACTATTTCAATTCTACTAGAAAAAATTACTGCATTATAATTTGTTATTAATTATCTTCATAATCATTCTGTCTTTCTTTTTTCAGTGTTATAAAGACAGCGACTGCAAAAGCAACGAGATTTGTGAATCAGGAAAATGCAAAGAGAACTATTGCAAAGATGTATATTGCCGCTACGGTTACGAGTGTTACATAAAAAAGGATCAATGCAAGAAAGCCCCTTGTCCTCCACCAGTCGCTGCATGTCAACTAGACCAAGTTGGTTGTTTTCTATGATTCTAGTAAACAAGTAAAGCGTAGTTTGTAATTTGTAGGAGTTCAAAGAATTCTTTGAGTACATAAAAGCAAAAGGCAGCACACCTTGCAACCTTCTATTTGTGGATCTTGTTGATTTAAGCTCATTAAGATGATGGTAGGTGATCCTTAATTTCTATGTATTTTTAAGAGGAAATTGATTACATATTGTGTACGTAGTTTAAAATTTTTCACCTCACAGAAGACTCTTTTCCCAGAAATGCGGTGAATATACTTCTTGCAAGTCTCACGAAGTGTGCGACCGCTCGACAAGCAAGTGTATCGACAGCCCGTGCAACTACGCCAAGTGTGGTCCAGGCAAAGAGTGCCGAGTGAACTACGTCCAGTGCTTCAAGGCCCCGTGTCCGCCACTGGCCCAGTGCGTTCCTAAACCTGGCTCATGTGATGAAGTGAAATGTGATGAAGGCAGTCATTGTGAGAATGGATATTGTGTTTTGGACAAGGCATGCGCTGCAGTATTGTGTCCCACTGGATCTTACTGCTACAAGGGAAAGTGCTTCAAGGTAAAATACATTTGGGTGAAGATATAGGTTGAAATAAGACGGTTCTTTAGCAAACCTAAGAGTATTAAGAGAAGAAAATTCAGACACTTACACCAGTGAGTGATTACCTCTCGTGAATGAAAATTTGGTATAAAACATCATATTTAGCGTTTTTTCCCTAGTCTATCACTAACGGTCTTGAAAGTACTGTAGCTTTGGAGCTCGATTGGAATCTATCCTGTCAATGGTTCAAAAAGACAGAGTCAATCATCCTTTCGCAGCACAAATGAAATTAAGTGTTCCGACCAGTTCATCTTCAAGCTTCCCACTTTAGCATCTAGTACAAACCTCAACACGTTTTAAAAGAGTTTTGAATCTTGAAACAATGAGGTTGAGCGGTTAAAGCACTCACATTAAAGGCTTTCGTTTTGAACCCATGCAAAATTGTTTCTTTTCCCAAAATTAATTTGTCATTAGATGTTATCTAACAAATTTTCGACGTTAGATTCTGACAAGATCAACGTTTTGACTGTTCCCTTGAGTAAAACTTTAAAAATGAAACCGAAAAATACTCATTTTAAAATTTGTTTTGATGTTGCAGGAAGTTAAGTGCCGAAAAGGCGAGTGTGGACCAGCCCAGAAGTGTTACGAAGGCAGTGAGTCCTGCAAGAAACCTCATTGCCCTACAAAGAGGATCTGTGTCACAGAGAGGTGCCCTTATGTGAAATGTGCCAGTGGAACTCATTGTGTTGATGGAAAATGTGTGCCTCGTCACTCTTGCCTGTAAAACTTGTGTAGTTACACCAACCTAGAAAATATATTTAGACTGCAGTGAATTTATTTATGAAAATAAATATTTTCAATGATATATTTTGTTTTTAAGTGTATATCCATCCTTACTTACTCTCTTACTCTCATGGCCATGGATACCCTAGGTGGTATTTGGCCTCGCCAACAAGTTGCCTCCATCTCCTCCTGTTCTCTGAATCTTCTTTCATTGCTCTCAATCTTTGCAAATCTTTCCCCACCTGGTCCTTCCATCGATTCTTGGGTCTTCCTCGGGGTCTTCTTCCTGCTGGGTTTTGTCTCCAAACTTCTTTTATTAGTCTGCCATCTTCTCTCCTCACATGGCCAGCCGACCTTAGTCTTCTGCTCTTTGCTTCTCCTACTATGTCTGGGGAATGGTACATGTCCCTTATTTTTTGGTTGTGCCTAATTCTCCATCCTTCTCACTCTCTAACAGGTCCAAATATTATCCATCCTACAAGTATGTATCCATCCTACAAGTATCAATTTTATCACAGCCTCAGTAGTCTGGCTTTAATCGTTCTAAAATTGTCACTACTTCGTACCAGAGTTCTACTGAATGTTGTAATTTCTGTTTACCATAGGTACCGGTACTATACGTCTTACATCTTTAGTGAGCCCTGATGTTATTTTAAAGAAAAAAGTGTTTAATGTATGTGACCGAAATGACTTAATGTGAATTAAATATAACAAAGTTGTATCTGCATAAGCATAAATAATAAATTGACAATTCTATTACATTCTAGAAGGGTAGGCTCTCTAGCCTAAAATTGTTTTACACATTACTTCAGGATAGACCTGAAGGGTCGTGGTATTATCATACAAATAAAATCCATTGGCAGGATTTGAACCCTGAATCTCAGGGACCAAAGTTCCACATAATACCAGACCAGCTTGATCCCCAAGGGTGAAAGATAATGAAAGCAGGTGTATGAAACCGTCAAACATATAATTAGTGTTAATTTCTAAATCTAAATTAATTTATAAATCTAGAATTCTAAGGTTATTTGTTAATTTCCCTGTAGGGACATCAAAATGAAAAAGTATATCGGTCCTGGCTCTCGGTCTTACTTCCTACAGGGAAATTTACTAATAAACCCTTTACCTTTATTTTATTTTTGGTGTTAGCCTCCCGATTACGTCGAATATATGATATATAGAATATATAATAACGCTTCAAAGTAATTCAAATTTTTGCAAAGACCTAACTAGTTTCGACTTCATAAAGTCATCATCAGGGGATGTCAAAATCACTTCATCAGAAGCTTGTCAATACATATATTGTACATTTACACACAAACATAGTTACGAAAAAAAGGTACATTTACTGTACAACAACTGAAAGACGAATAAAAATGGTAACAACTGTCTAGGGATACTTCGTCACAACTGGATGGGTGTAGCATCTAGACATTACATACATCCGGTCATTACACAGGTATTTACACCAATCTATATATTACCTTTATGTGCTCACAAACTAAATGTTTATTTAACCAAAGGGATGTCATGTTTATTTAAATTGTTACAAAGTTTAATTCATTTACCTAGTATAATACAGAACGCAGCACTAATTTGATTTATTCTCGGAATGTATAATTTACTAGAGTAAATACCTAAATGTCCCTTTATCTGACATAACGGATAAGTCTAAACAATCAAAACACATAAACTAAAATAAACGGAATGTTTTTATCAAGCAAATCTCGAAACGAACCACACACCAATCAGCATTTATAGATGCTCAAAGTTCATACATCAATTAGCATTTCTGTGAAGTACACAGGGGAAATTAGCATTCTAATCAGTAACTCTGATAATTTGTGAAACCTGTTTCCAAAACAGTTATACAGAGTTGAGAGCACGTTTTGGTAGCAGGAAAGTACAGTGATGTATATAGTCAAGGTCGGTATACCAGCTTTGTTTCTCATTTGGTGTTCACTAGTTGATTAGGATGGTTCAATCCTGGGTACTCTTACCATTGACTCTGGCTGTGTTTATTTTTTCTCAGATTCAAACTGCATCTGCGAATAAAACAGTGGTAATTATGATTCCATTTGGATTATTATTCAGTTTTAATTAGTTTATCTAATCAAAGCTATGTTATATTAATAAAATCTTTTTGTGGTTTTAGTAATATTTCTACTCCCATCAATACAGCTTTCTTGTTATGTCCTGCTTCTTAAACAATAGTTTGTCTTTTTAAATTATAAACATTTATTTATCCTCCAAAGATGTTTAAGGTAGAGGTACTCCTTAGGAAAAAACTATAAAAATGTCAGTATAAAAGTAGAACACTAAAAGTAAAACTTCAAATTAGGTACGGTATATTTATTGCTAATACTTTTATATTGCCTGCAAGTCATTCTAAACCTATTCAACAAAATTATATTTTTAGAAATTTAGATAATCACATCTTACATGAAACTAACAGAATCAGGTTTATCTTAGGTGTCAGAAATCAAAAGTTTCCGAGTCTAGATTGAAGGTTATATTTTATCTGTAAATACTCTCTCACATTTTTACTGAGTGTAAATAATAAATATACAAAGCATACAAGAAGCTACCAAGTCCCAAAGTTATTTGCTAACACAACATTAACGTAAAACATGAAAACATAAAAGGTGCTGAAGTTAGAGCTCGAACAATGGTTTATGTCTCATTACAGACACATTTATCTAGGAAAACTTGAGTAGCTGTTCTCTTTAACGATGTTTATATGATTTTTAGTCTTGCAACCATCGTTTGTTCAAATGAACTGTTAAAGTTACTGTTTTGTTAGCAAGAGAACCCTGGTGTACAAACATCAATGGTTTTACATATGTTAAACTAGCAGAGTACCCGTCCTTCGTACGGGGTTGGCATATAAGTGTAAAAGTACCTGGGGACCGAGCTTTGCTCGGGGAAAATCATTAGTTCACTTTGTAAGCAGTCTTAGTATTGGAGATACATAAATCCATTCCCAAACTCCACACGGCTCGCATTAACTACGTCCTACACCATTTCCTACGTCATGGACCTGTTTCCCTCCATTCCCATAGCACTTTAGGATTGTAGATACCTTAATCTAATCGTTATTAACAGTTCCCACACTCCGGACAGCTCGCCTTGGATACTTCCTTCACCACTTCCAATGTAGCGGACCTGTTTTCCTCCCTTCCCATAGCATTTCAGAATTGCAGACACCTTAATCTTATCGTCATAAACAGTTCCCACGCTCCATACTACTCGCCTTTACTACTTCCATCACCACTTCCTACGTCGCAAACCTGTTTCCCTCCCTTCCCAATGCATTTAAAGATTGCAGATACCTTAATCTAATCGTCATAAACAATTCCCACACTCCGGACAGCTCCCCTTGACTACTTCCTTCACCACTTCCTACGTCGCGGACCTGTTTCCCTCCCTTCCCATTGCATTTAAAGATTGCAGATACCTTAATCTAATCGTCATAAACAGTTCCCACACTCCGGACAGCTCGCCTTGACTACTTCCTTTACCACTTCCTACGTCGCAGACCTGTTTTCCTCCCTTCCCATAGCATTTCAGAATTGCAGACACCTTAATCTAATCGTCATAAACAGTTCCCACACTCCGGACAGCTCGCCTTGACTACTTCCTTCACCACTTCCTACATCGCGGACCTGTTTCCCTCCCTTCCCATAGCATTTTAGGATTGCTCATACCCTTATCTAATCGTCATAAACAATTCCCACGCTCCAGACAGCTCGCCTTGACTACTTCCTTCACCACTTCCTACGTCGCGGACCTGTTTCCCTCCCTTCCCATAGCATTTTAGGATTGCCCATACCCTTATCTAATCGTCATAAACAGATCCCAGACTTTGCACTGCTACCCTTGACTACAATGTATCGAGTAATCTTCAGTATAATCTTTGCTCAATATTAACAAGTGATGTTTTTCCTTTTGTACTGTATTTCTAATTTGCTAGCATACTGTGGGTAGTTGGCTTATTATGAACACATACTACAACTTCAAGACTTTTGTTTACTTTTTCCTTGTTATTTAATTCAGCCAACATGGTTACCTAGCAACCCATAAGACTTATGTTAAAAAAATTTGATTTTCAGTTTCATTTTTCTACAATTAGATTTTTGTTGGCAGTTCTAACTGCAGTAAACTCGTTTTTAGGCCAGAAATAAACTATTTACAACATTTAGGTCATAATAAGCCTTCTGTAGGTCAGTACCACAAGTGATTGTTTAATAACACTTCCTTTTGCACAACATTTCCAAACACTACACAACATTTGGCCAATCCTATTACAATAGGAGTAATCAGTATATTCCAAGGAAAGAAACTGATTGTAAACATGCCACATCATTACATTTATAAGGTTACAGGACTTTTAAATTTAGGTTAAAAATCACAGCAGTGTTAATCAGGTACATCTAAGTTTTATTTACACTATACAGTTTATACATTTTTGTCATCGAGTGACAAAACTAATTGTTCTAGATTGTAACGTACTACAATGATTTACTAGCGTCTAGACTGCCAGTGCAATTCCGAGGATCGTGGATCAGAGGCGCTGTGGCACCTCCACACCATGTCGTACGCTTCCGAATCATACCGGCGCATCAGCATAGCTTATCTAACTGTTCGCGGAAAATTGTTATCTGTATCACTGTTGCTGTCAAAACATATAATTTGTAGGTTAAATTTAAATTAAATATAATTAAACTATCATAACCTAACCAAACTTGCTGATAATGATCAACTCGAATGAAGGTTTACTAATCGAAAAAATAGCTCTGTTCTAAAAATAAAATTATAAATGTCTCAAATTCAATTTTACAATTTTTTAATTATAAAATTAAACTGTCATAACCTAACCAAACCAACCAAACTTGCTGATATGAAAAAAAATTTGTTGACAAAAAGTTAGTGCAACCAGCGGGATTCGAACCCGGCACCTTCATAATATCAGCCCGGCACGCTATCCACTACACCACCAAGGCTCATGACTCAGCTGTAATGGTTGCAGTAATGGTTGACGTCACGCCATCGGCACGGAGCGGTGGTGGGGGGTTTTTCGATCTGATCCACGATCCTAGGAGTTGCACTGCCAGTCTAGATGCTTATCAATGATTTACATAAGGTACACATGTCACTGTGGGTTTAAGGGCAATCCGTTAAGTACAAAGTTGACAAATAATTATCAAAGTAAAATAAGTTTACAATTACAACGGCGGTACAGAAAGTGAGGAACGTTTTAGAATAAAATAAAAAGTTTGTATTATCACGTGCAAGGTAGTTTAGACATTTGAAAGAACAATTAAAATATTTAAGTTTGTCGTAGTCCCGAAAGAAATTCAGGCACGTTATAGTTAGGTATTGGTGGTGGACGAGCTTTGAAATTCCTTTCTTGATCTGGACTGTAGGAATGTGTGTTAAGCGTTGTAAATATCCCATTTAAATGATCAAAGAGATATAGAGTGTGATTTGCTGTCGGGCGTTGTGTAAAAAAATAAAATTTGGGACGGCAGTTTCACCATTTTAAAACTATGCACAATCACCCGACAGCACTTTCATTTATTATGTTATTTCCAAACACTTCACACACTTAATGATCAATATCTATGGTAGGTTTAAGGACTAAAACCGTATTTGAGACTGCACCTCACAACTATCAGCATTTTCAATTGCAGCACAATTTTTAATATGATTTTTCGACAACAAGCAGCACAATTACACTTCCGCTGTGATGGCTGAACAATCATTGAGAAGGCGGATTCGTGAGTACTAGAAAGTGTGTGATCAGCGCCAGCCTATCAGCGTCAGGTGGAAACGGTCCTTACTTTCTGAACAACCCAAGTACATATCGGGACATTTTTCACTTTTGCTTGACTTACAAGCTAACATATCCCATCCTTTCATGAATGGTTTATATTAAAGATCTAGCTTAAAAATTATCCAGTAAAGTTTGATCTTAACAGACTTACTTTGATTGTTCACCACAGTTAAAGTATATATAATTTGTTCAAAAAAAAAAAATTTAAACAGCAATGATAAATTTACTACACAAACATAGTAACACAGATGTTTAAAGCACTGTAGTTTATTTGTGACCAAAACACTCTATGTACCACATGGATGCGTGGTATTATAAAATGGCTAGTCAGACAACAAATATTTATATTATGGAAAAAATATAATTTTAATTTGTACATTTTTAAACCCAAATAGGATAATGCTCTAAATTAAGCTATCACTATTAATTATTGAAAAAAAAAACCATCGACCAGATAGTGAAGAAACTACGTCTATAAAACAGCTGTTATTCCTTAATATTTTATTTTTAGATACTGCAGTAGACATCCTGGCTACACGCACCAGCCAATTTTCAAGAAGAATTATGATAATTGATCCACTCACAGGGTAGACTTGTGTCTTTTTAGCGAATTTCCCTATAGGGAAGTAGCTATTACCGTAGGTGGCACGGTAAGACCTAGACCCGGGACCGATTTACTTTTTCATTTTGATGTCCCCAGAGGCCAAAAACACCATTCGTTCAAATTTTTATATATATATAGACTTTTATATATATATATATAGACTTTTATATATATATATATACGTCCGTGAACGCGATAACTTGAGTAATTTTTGTCCGATTTTGATGAAATTTGGTTTAAAGGTGTAAAGCGGGATAAACTTGAATGAGTTCGCGAACCAGCACGATCGGACCATGGGAACGGGGCTTTACGGGGGGTTTTATGGGGTAAAAATTGGTTTTTCTCACTTTTGACCCTCAAAACACAAAATTTCCCGATTTCTCTTTGAACCTTTTTAAAGAGCTTAAAAAAAAAAATAATTTAGTGTATAAAAGTATTTTTGTTCAATTATTAGTAACGAAGAAAATTTAAAAAATTGTAAATTTAAAATTCCCATGTTATTCTTATGGAGAATATTGTCAAATGTTGTAGTTTGGTTGTTTATGGATATATTTTGATCAAACTTGGCAAATTTATTTATTTTGTACTAAGCTATCAATATTTTACTCAAAAACACACTTTATTAGTTTCCTTGTAGCAGCAAACCTAGGTACTCGTTAAACCTAATGTTATTAAAATATATTTAACTGAAAATCAATTCAGACAAATGAAAATTCGCTTAGTCGGCAGGTTTGCTGCGGCGGGGGTATTATGATCTTTGAATATCTTTGCCCTCTGTGGTAGTAGTTAAGGTGTGAAGGAGAATCACAAACTATGCAGGAGAAATTAGAATTGACTTCTTAATAACAAATTGTAATATAAACAACTCAGCTCACCACTTAGCTCAGCTTTACCACACACTAGTGTACTTCACAGCTAGTTTCGAAAGAGACCCATTTCAGGGCAAGATAGAGCACAGATACGACTAAGTTATCGAGCCCCAGAATGGATCTTTTGCGACGAGTAGTGAGCGAAACTTTTGCAATACAAAACATCACACATGCTTCGTTTGAAAAAATCTAATATTATTCCATAGTCTAGAAATTATGTTTTCATACCACAGGTTTGTACCACTCTGTTTGTTTGGGTAAGGAATGGTTATGTTTAGGACGGGCAAAAACATATGTTTTGGTAGATTCAAAATCAACGATTTTCGAATGGCTCAGCTGTGAGCAATTTTCGAATATATAATGATAAAAAATATTTACTTCTGTATCATTTAAAATTACTATACCCACAGAAATTGCACTGTTGTAAATAAACTCTTTATAAATAAATATAACACAAAGAAATGTTTAGAGGAAGGTAAAAAAGGCTACGAAAGGAACGCAGCAGCTCTAGTAGCTATATGCGCTCTACATACAGGACATGTAGATCCAAGCTGGGCGCTACAGTCTTCACACACACATAGGTGACCACACGGCAACATGATTACCTACAACACAAAGATGACACAGAGTTTACCATCAAAGAAATATAACCTGATGAATATTCAAGATTTTAAACTCATGTAAATATTGAAAAAGGTCATCGAAGCTTATTGCATTTAGACCATGTAGGACCAAAATGCTTCTTCAGCAATGGATGATTCATTGAGAAATGAAGCAGTTAGTCCTGCTGAGGGTTTTCAAAGACAAATGAAGGATGAGTTTGTCACTGTGATTCATAATTATAATATTTTATTTTTTAGGCTGGCAACAGATGAGTAAGGCATTTTGACTAAAGGTGTCTGTGACAGAGAAAACATGGGTGCTTACAGAGCACAACACACTGTAATAGAGGAGGTGAAATAGGACAAATAATTGCCTAGTAGCAAAAAGTAGCCAAGAATTTTCTTTTGTCAACATTCGCTGGCCGTGGAAGCATTTTTCACATTTGTGGGTTCCCGTGACTTCCACCATTATGCACTTAGACGGAATAATTTCCACTTTAAATGCGGATAACAGTATAAGATGCAAACACTTTTGCAATTAAATGTGTCAAGTATTCAGCAAAGGTGTCAAACATCTTGATATAACACACTGAATTAGCTTGTACACAATATTTTACGAGGAGAGACTCCTATTCCAAACTCCAAACATTTAAGTTTCACCGCTGCAGCTCTCCTACAAGTTGTGTTTCTCTTTTTAATCTTACTTGTACTTCGAGAATTAACTTTACCGGATCTGAACGCAACTATGTAATTACCTTTGTCAATCACGGGTTTATGTTACAAAATCACACTTGCAACCATTGATAAAAAACACAGTGTTTTATATTGATACAAACCGCGACAAAACTTGCCTTAATTTTTGCAGTCTGTGGCAGGTCTAAAACCAACCTACAACTACCAGCTTAGTTGTCCAACAAAGTAAATGATACAACAGTTTGTTTCACTGACAGAATCACTTGTTGCCTACCTCTCTGGGGTTGTCTTGACACACGATGCATTGCAGAGCTTGAGGTATGTTGTCTCCGTGTGTCCGTGCGTTTCGCCGTCGCTCCCTCAGTCGCCTGCGCAGATCTGCAGACTCCCTCTTCTTTTTCAGATGGATCCACAAACGACGGATCAGTAGTGCACTGGACGCTGCTGTCAAGGTGCCAGTGATAACTAGAAGAGCTCTGGAACAAAAGTTATTAGTGAAATTCTAATCTGTAAATAAAAGAATTGTTTATTTATACCTTTCATTGCAAGCTTGCTTGCTTGTATTATTACTTCTTAACATTCTGCTGGTAAAATTACAGGATCTATTGTATGTATTATGTTTACTGATTGATTAAATCTATCTAACTATCTACATATTACAAAAGCTGTTACCCGTAAAGCATCTTCTTGTCCCTAATTGTACTGAGGATAGTAGCTACGGACTGGGTGATGATGAAGAATGGTTTGTTTTTCCCTGGTGGGAGCAGAGCTTTGGTGCCATTCTCCAATACTGCGAGCTCCCCGATACCTAGGTAAATGTTTTGATTAATAAAAATTACAACAAACCCTAGCTAAAGGGAAAGGAAGGATTGTTTTTGTTTGGTGTAACCTTACAGGAAACTCTGATTTTTGGATCCGATGGCACCATTTTCCATAATTAACTAGAATTATGTGTTTTCAGGTTGATATTACGATTATCTACAAGTCCTGTTTAAATATTTTTTTACGTTGATTTGGGTTGGTTCAAGTTAGATTAGAGCCAAGATATATTATAACCTCAATTATCTTGTGTCATTCAAATTACATAGAAGCAGTGAATTAGGCCTTAAAAGGTCCAAAATTTCAGAACCAGTAAAAATAAATTCACCTGTGACGATCGTTCCCTCTTTCAACATCTCCTCCGTAGTCTCGAGGCCGTAACGTCGAATTCCGGAGAAGAAGCTCCACATGTTGGCTGCTAGAGAGTGAACCATCGGGTCGTACCTGCTGTACACAGTGTCTAAGTGAAGCTCGTCTGCTAGTAGCACGTCTTTCACCTCTATCAGGCTGCTGCCGACGACGATGGCGAAGGGAACAGTGTTGTAGGACTGATGAATAGGCCGAGACTGGTCCATCCTGCACAGGATTCAGGATTCAGGATTGTTACGAGTTAAAATTTTCACACGGACAAAAATCATTGCTTTTTGCCGGCTTGTAAGTCAATTGAGAGAATTAATTAAATATGGAGCATCCAGAAAGATCAATTAATTAGCAGAAAACAAAACTTCAGCAATGAGAAACATACAACGGATGCACAGCATTATTTCTCATCACCAGCTGCTTCAGTCCTTTTGAAAAATGAAAAGAAAATCCTTAATTTTTTCAGGAAAAGTTAGGGCTACATGACCCTTTCTTACACTTAACCTGAAATTCATAAATATAAAGAAATAAGAATACAATGGAATTACTTAATCTAATTAAACATTTACATATTTAACAATTTAAGTACATTTCTCAGAAAAAAAATATTTTAAAACATGCAATTTTAACAAAAGAAAAAACACATTTAGGCCTACACACTCTCACATGCACGCATCAGCAAACACGAAGAGAAACAGTAGCCCTAGGACACGCCAGCCGAGACCATCTGCTCAAAATAGAGCTTTTTCAGTGCCGCCACAAACTGGGAACGTTTTTCAAGGGTTTGAATGTGCAGTGGTAGGCCGTTCCACAGACGACAAGCGGTAAGAACAAAAGCCCTGTTATAAGCCGTGGATGATGATGTAAGCAATGCGATCCGAGAATAACGAGACATTCGTGAACTACTCCGAGACACAAATTTAAAATCGGATTTGAAATATTTTTGGGGAGCCTGTTTTCAAAATTGAAAAAACCAATGAAAAATTATTTTATGAATCTTCATAATTTAATTTCAGAATGTGTGCCTCAAGGTAGTATGGCTTGATATGCTCCACACGTCGTAGACCATAGACAAATCTCAAACAATAATTCTGTGACTGCTAGAGCATACCCCCCCCCCTCCCTTAAGATATGACCAGCTGCTAAGTCCAGTTTTGTGTAGCCTAATGCTAGTAAATTCACATTAAGTAACGTTACTTAGTCAACAATACCAGGGATTGAACTGTTACCTGTTGTTTGTGACCTCAGCAAGGCTTTCGATGTTGTGTCACATGACATCCTTCTGGCCAAGCTGAGAAAATATGGTATCGGTGGCGCAGTTTTCTGCTCTCTTGCGGACTACCTTGGCAACCGCAAACAAATAGTAACAATTATGGGTGCTTCTTCTACTATAGGCTCTCTTCCCCATGGAGTTCCGCAGGGATCGGTCCTGGGCCCTCTTCTTTTCACAATAATGATCAATGACCTTGCTACAACCAGCCATGCCCTCCTTTTTGCAGATGATACCACCTTGGTCACAAAGGGGAAGAACATCGACCCGCTGCTGGAGGAGGCAAACAACACCCTGAGGCTGGCCAAGGACTGGTTTATAGCCAACAAGCTTAAGATCAACGAGGAGAAGACTCAGATCCTTTTATGTTCCTTGAAGATCGCTCTTGAGGAAAACAGCGTGAAGCTGCTTGGGTTCTGGATGGATTCAAAGCTAAGTTGGCACCACCATATTGAAAAGGTATGTGTAAAGCTCTCAAGAGTTCTCCACCTTTTAAGGAAGCTTAGGACCACCATTACCAGACCGTATTTGCTAGCGGTGTATCATGCGCTGTTTCACAGTCACCTCACGTATGGCCTGGTTCTGTGGGGCCATTCTCCATGGACACAGGAATTACTTCTGCTACAGAAAAAGGCGCTGAGGATAATAACATCTTCTGGCTACAAAGCGCACTGTCGTCCCATCTTCCTGGAGCTGGGTGTGTTGACTGTTTATAGCCAGTATGTCCTCAATGTCTTGATCCTGCTGAAGGTTAATATCCACCATTTTGTTGTGAGAGACAATATTCATAGTCACCATACCCGTCAAGCTTGTGACATTGATTTGCCGAGATGCCGCCTAGCCCGCTCACTGAAGAGCTATCCTCGGTCTGCGATAAGGTTTTTTAATTCCTTGCCGGTGCATGTACGCGACCTGGACCTAGACGATTTTAAGACGGCCCTACGTGACAGGCTGGTAAATAGGCCTCTTTACAGCCTTGAAGAGCTAGGCAACGAGCCACTTTTTAGCCATTGCCACAGTGTAAATAGTGTGTAAATAGTTTTCTTAGTATTAAGTAAATATGACGCAGTCTTACCGATATCATCGGTCAACGACACAGACTTCAAGTATTCAAGTAAGTATTCAAGTACCTAAAATAAAAGGCTACGTGGCTGATGTTTATAGGGACTAGGCCTGCCCCAAAGGCGAATAACTTCTTGAATGAATGAAAATAAAGATTAGAAAGTGTAGATTGAATCTGATTAATCAAGAACACTGCAAAAAATAACTCATTGAAAATTCAGGTTAGGCTTATTATAATTCAAGGATTCCATTTTAGATAAATTGCAACAAATCACTGTTTTATACTTACCAGTAACCAGAGGAATTGCGAGTCATCACATACTCATTGGTGCTCATCCTCTGTATCACTCCAGACATGTTGGGAGCATACACACTAATGATGTTATTTCCCAATGATTTCACAGGACCTTGGACCATAGTATATCTTTTCTCGCCAGTCTGAATTTGTTCCACATCTTTGTTTTCACCCTTTGAAATCACATCCTACAACAGAATAATAATAATCCTTTGAATGTACAGAATAATAGCCTAAGGTACCGTCATTGACTATATTTTATTTTGTGGGTATATATAGTCAAAGGTAGGCCTACCATACATACAATTAGTAAGACTATATTGGTTTAAAATTAGCCAGAGGATACGCGTCCGGTAACCGGACTTGGATTAGGTGTCCGGCAGTTACTGTCATAACCTAGAACCTAACTAACCAAACTTGCTGATGATGAAAAAAATTAAATGAAGGTTAAATTATGTTCATAAAATAAAATTATAAATGTCTCAAATTCTAAAAAAAGATGTTAAGAAAAAATGGCATTCCAAGCAAAATCTTGGACATAAAGTTTGTGTCACCGATGGGATTCGATCTAGATACCTCTTGTACAAAAGCCAAGTACTCTATCCACTACACCACTGATGGCTGTAAATCGTATCGTTTAGGTAATAGCTCTACAGAATCTAATAATCCTATTATTCACCTGTATAAACTTGCAGATTAGCAACTTCAACGTTCTTCAAAGGTCAAAGACTTAGGCATCATACTCTCTCCTGACCTCAATCCTCAAGAGCACGTAAACTTATTTTCCTACAGTCACCCGACAAAGTTGGCTTAATTGTACTGTTTATAGTACAGAAAGCTGCTAATTGTTGCATATTTATACTTTGTCGTACGGTTTATACTTTGGCGCACATCAGGATTCCAACGAAACACGAAACAGCGTGGTTCTATTATGCACATAATCCGTGTACGCTTGGAAATGAGTTGGCAACACTTTTAAAGAGAATACTATGAGCAGCTGATTGACTATTATAACTACGATTTAACCTGTCATTTTGTGTTTATAGTTTCGGTATTTCTGAACTTTCTGGACTCTTCTTTTAAACCTTTTTAAAACATTCCTACGATCTTAATAAACAAGAAAATGCCTTTAAAGCATATTTTTAGGTGCGGAAACCACTTCAAATTACAATAACATACGGAACTATTTTCTCGAGTCGCGGAGCACATTGCTTGCCGATGAAAAAATAGCGGAGTGATACGGACCGGGTACTACTTTCTCTAGAGCACCTATTTGTGTTGCCAGCTGAACCTAAAAACGTGCTGTATAGTGTTTGAAAGACTAATTATTTATATGCCGGTGCTTTATAGTGACTGTAGGAAAAATATAATGTGTAACACGAGTGCAAAAGGCCTTTGCTCACTAGTTACACAAATAACTATTTTAAGAAGGCCAACTCAGAACTTAATTTCATCACCAGGGTCAGTCATTACAGATTTTCAGTATCGGCACTGGTAACTCTTTATATCCATACTTGAGTTTTCTTCCACAGTTTGGAATCCGTACCAGTCTGGAAAACACTCAAAGCCGTTTTGTTCGCCTTGGTCTACGTTTGGGGATGCAAAACCGTGCTGTTCCTGGTCATGATCTGCAACTCCAGTTGAACCTGTTGCCTCTTTCTACCAGACGTGAGGTAAATGATGTCTTGTTCTTGAAGAAGTTGATCACATCCTCCATTGATGCTCCCGACCTGCTTGTGAAACTAGACTTCCGCACTTCATGCAGCCTTCGCCATACCCAGCTGTTTGTGAGGCGGCAGTACTCAACGCAGTACATGTTTCACAGTGCATTTTCTCGTCTGCAACGTCTGGCAAACAACCTACCCGGACATTTGGATCTGTTCTGCACAAACAATGAAACATTCAAGACAAAACTTGTTAACAGCATGCGTTTCTCATTGATTTAATGACATTGTTTTGTTGTTCTTGACCATGTTATGCTTTCCAGAGTTGTTATTCTTTCTCATTTTATCCATTCTTCATTCCATTGTCTATTTATACATTCTACTACCTATTGTTACATTTCATATTTATATTGGTTACTATATTTTGTTATATTTATTTCCTACTGTTATAGCTTGTTATATCTTATATCTTTTTATTGTGATATTATTCTTCTATTTATTGAATATTACTTCACGTTGGCTGTAAATTGCTTTTAAAAATGTCCCTTTTTAAATTAAGTCAAGTTATATTACATTTTGTTATATTTATGTAGGCCTATTGGTTTGACTGTTGATATGAATAAATAAATAAATGGTGTTCTGGGGCCCACAACCCGGTGACGTCACTGCCGGATGCCTAATCCAAGTTCGGTTAATGACGGGTATCCTTAGGGTTAAAATTAAACCCTGATCATTGATCTCATTTAAATTTCTGTTAAAATTATACTTCAATTTATTACAGATTCTCATGAATTGGGTGGCTTTAAAGTGTTCCTGTGTACCCTACCTGTTGTAAATCGGACGCTTGCTAAGAATCCGTAATTTTCCAAAACTGATGATATGTCTTACTAGAAACACTTTAAACTAAACAGGGGCTAAAACTAGAGCCATTTCAAAGAAAAGCATCAAAGAGCCAAAACTCACCTGTAGGCTAGACTAGAATAATAGTCTGCAAAACAATGTAATCAATCACAAGTTACCGCAGGTTGTTTTTCGACAGTGAAGGCATGTCGAGTTAACGTGACCCAAGATGTTAGGAGTATTACTGTATGAACTTAAAAGTCTAGGCCTACTCTTGATACAAAATCTTGACGACGACCTACTATGTGTTTAAGTAAAATTTGAGGCTGCACTTTACTTGGGTACAGTTTCTTAACTGGGCTATGCTAATATCGATTGAAACTATCGAATTGAAAATACTGGATAATAATCGATATTTTAAAATCTGTCTATTATAAAATTAAACTATCATAACCTAACCTAACCAACCAAACTTGCTGATGGTGAAAAAATTGCATGAACCAATCGAATCAATAGTTTCAATCGATATTAGCATAGCCCAGTTAAGAAACTGTACCCCTTTACGTTAGGTCCTACACTCATTCGAACGAAAATATCGATCGATATATCGTTTGGTTAGTAACCTAACCTAACTAACCAAACGATATATCGATTGAAACAATCGAATAATCGATATTTTCATTTTAATGGGTGTAGGACCTAAGTAAAGTGCAGCCTTATAAACTTACATAACTTTTATTAAATTTATACCCCAAACTGTGATAGGATTAAGTAAATATTTGGGCTACAGTAAAAAACTATATAGGCCTAAGCTTACCTGTAAACACTGAATATATGTAGAAGTCTTATTATAGCTCTTGTAAAAAAAATAGCTTAAAATAGCATCAACAGAAAACACCAAAATTTCTGTCGGTAAATCTGTGTTCCATATAAAAGCCATTAGGCTAATGGTATTTGTTTACTTTAGGGGCTTCTACCGAATTTAGAAAAAAATGTTTTTCTCTCATTATTTGGCCTATTTTGAACACTTTTTACATTTGGCACTTTTGGGGCAAATGCCTATTTAACCCTGAAAATCGTGTTTGAAAATTGCAAAAAATGCTAAAAATTTGCGTAGTTTTTTTTACCCTTAATGTGTTTTTACTATTACTAAGGACCTACAGAACTAAATATAATACAACCTAACTTTATCTAATCTAACCTAACCTAACTTAACCTAACCTAACCCAACCCTACCTAACCAATGCTTAGGTTAGCAATATGCCGAAAATAGCGGATTTTTAGTTAAACCAAGGTTTGGTTACGTTAGGTTAGGTTACGTTAGGTTAGGTTAGGTTAGGTTAGGTTAGTTAAGGTTAAGTCAGGTATGGCTAGTTATTAAGTTCAATTAGCCTAAAATCACCTGAATATGTTAAATCTAACCTAACCTAACTTAACCTTACGTAAACTAACCTAACTATATTTTAACTAACCTAGCCTAACCTAACCTAACCTAACTTAACTTAACCTAACCCAATCCTACCTAACCTAACCCAACCCTACCTAACCAATGCTTAGGTTAGCAATATGCCGAAAATAGCGGATTTTTAGTTAAACCAAGGTTAGGTTAGGTTAGGCTAGGTTAAGTTAGGTTAGTTTAAATATACATCTGCTTATTACTAAAATAATAAAAACACATTTAAAGAAAGGCAAGGGGGGAAAACCCAGATTTTCTAAGTAAAAATGGCAATTGCTAAAAAATTTTCGCAATTTTCAAACGCGATTTTCAGGGTGAAATAGGCGTTTGCCCCAAAAGTGTCGAATGTAAAAAGTGTTCAAAATAGGCCAAATAATGAGAAAAAATTATTTTTTTCTAAATTCGTTAGAAGCCCCTAAAGTAAACAAATACCAGGCTAATTTGTAGAGCAAGTAATTAAAAAGAAAATATTACTGTGCAAAAATATTTCAGTTTTCATCACAACTTAACCTCAAAACTGATTAATGACAGACTGAGAAAAAGAAAAATGTAGGTCGGTAAACACTAAACAGCTGTTTCATCATAGATCATAGACAAGAATTTAGAATTTCACCGAAAGAGCGCAGCAGCTGTCAAAATACAAACACAACACAGTCATGTGCTGCCCTAAGTGGCAAATTAGTAAACTACTATTGATACTTTGCGGTTTACTCCTAAGAGCGCAGCAGCTGTCAGAAAACACAACCCTGAAATGTGCTGCTCCAAGCGGCAAATTAGTAAACTACCTCTGATTATAACAGTTGAGTTCACTCCACTCCACTAGTCCACTCCACTCCCGGACCCAGATCGGAGTCAATGTCAAGCAAGACTATGGTCATAGATAAAAGGAGGTACCACTTTGGGATAGCGCTGGGTTCACAACGATATGGTAGGCATACGGTTAAGTATCGATCGTCGTAGTATGAAAACAACTACTATCGAATATCGTAAATCGATTGGCTTCCATAGCGCCAACCAACCAACCAAAACGTAAACAAACCAGTTTAGCTGCTAACTCATGTTTTCCAATTTTTATTTTATTGGTAAAAATGTCATCGTATTTAATTATTAATTGTTTAATGTAAAACAGATTGTAAATAAACTTTGTTAAAAAAAACCAAACCAACCAACACCGACAGACAGAAAAGAGAAGACAAGAGATTACAAAAACTACTAGCACTATAGCCTAAAAGGAGAGGAAAATATTTGATTTAATTTATTCCAACATTGTTCCTTTTGATCAGTTTCATGGTGCATAGTGCATTATTATGGAGGAAATATGCAAAGGTCATCTAAACGCTTTTAAAAGTAAGGGGGTGGTAATTTAACTTATCTGGCGCTAATTGCGCAAGTTACTGGAATATTAATTTTAAAATTCCTCCGTAATTTAAGTTCTTATATATTCATCATGCTGGTTATCAGCCTTAATTGGATAATAAACATTTTCATTGGCTAATTTTATGCCAGGTTCAGATATTATGTTGTAGCCTACTTATTTATTTGCATTCACTCTCACTGTAATATTGTGAATAAAATTATGGCCTTCCATCGTCAAGGCCACATTATGACGTTTGACGACAGGGACAGACATGACATAGGAGCTATAGGAGCAGCTGCAGCAGAAGGCACTAAGGCAATAGTTTACTATTCCACCGAGGCAGCCGGTGCGGTGAGCCAGAGCCGATGCCGATACTAAAAGTCGATGTCTGTCATCCGGTAGAAAACAAGCTCGATATTTAACCGAATGCCTACCATATCGTTGTGAACCCAGCGCTATCCACCACTTTGAACTTTGAAGTTCCCTACTTGTTCTTCTTCTCTTCTACTTACTTTGCCGGTTTTATTTTTATTCTGTATCTGATCTGCCTGCACTGCTACTGCGTTGCATTCTGCTGGATGATTCGTTCTACTAGGAAGGATTTAAGGTTGGAGTTGGAAGCACGAGAACTAATTCAAGAATTTATAGGAAATAAAACGACTGGTGTCATAGGTATGTAACTTGAAATAAAAACTAGGCTATCCTATCCTAAGCCTCAGTCACACTAGGCCTAGGCTGTTAAGCATCCACTACTAATCGAATCATAGTTTCAATCAATATTGGCGTAGCCCAGTTAAGAAACTGTACCCCCAGTTAGCACGTTGACGAGCTCAGTTTGATTTTTAGGATGTAAAATTTCGAAATACACTCATTCTGAAACATGGGAGAGCAACTTATTTCATACGGATTTGTTGGACTGCATCTCTTTTTCAGAAACGCAGAGGATACGCGTCCGGTAACCAGACGTGGAAGTGGATTAGGCGTCCGGCAGTTACTGTCATAACCTAACCTAACCATCCAAACTTGCTGATAATGAAAAAAATCAAATGAAGGTTCAATTCTCTTCATAACATAAAATTATAAATGCCAAAAATTCTAATAAAAGATGTACAGTTAAGAAGAAATTACATTTAAAGCAAAGTCTGTGTCAAAAAGTTATAGAAACCGATGGGTTTCGAACTTGGGACCTCTTGGATATCAGCCGAGCACTCTATCCACTACACCACGAACAACGCTGGCCAATCATTGTATCGTTGTGGTAATGGTGTTCCGGGACCCCACAACCCGGTGACGTCACTACCGGACGCGTATCCTCTGTGTTTCAGAAATGTTCCTTTGAGCAAGACCGGAAGTTAAGGGAAGGACTAGAGACCAGACAGTTGCAACTATCTCCGTGTGAGTAAGCTTACACGGCAAAACCTGAATTCATTTTTTTGGAAACTGGTTTGTGTAAGTTACTCCCATGACTTTAAGCCTAACTAGACTTACTCCCACTGGACTCAACCCATAACACCGCCGAGGCCAAAACCTTATTAGACCTCATTATTGTTAGTGGCTCTGAAATTAAAATTTTCAATGGGCAAGTTACAGTCCCTTATATTTTACATCATGACCTTAATTAGCTTAGGTACTAGGTACCCTTGTCAAAAATCAAACAAAAGGTAAGTACGGTATTCACTTTCCCCAACTCGCCTAAAACGTTCTATAAGACGTGTTTAAAACTGTTCCTAGACACCAAAACTACAACTTTCTTAAATGACTTATTTGTCGGTGAGACTTCCTGTAGACACCACACCTAGATTAGGCTACTAGACACCACCCCTGAAAAACTTGCTTAAACATCGTGACAGGACAGTTTCCTACACTAGAAACCTCACCAAGTTACAAGACACCACACCCAGCTTACTAGACACCATTATCTAGATTAACCTAACCGTAATCTGGGTGAGGTGTCTAGTAATCTAGGTAGGCCTATGGTGTCTAGTAATCTGGGGGTGGTGTCTATTAATCTAGGTGTGGTACCTATCTACAGGAAGCCTTGGCGACAAAAAAGTCATTTGTGAAAGTTGTAACTTAGTGTTGGTGTCTAGGAACATTTTAAAAACGTCATATAGGACGTATTAAGTGAGTTGGGGAAAGTGAATAATAACCAAATTGTTAACCAATGTTCATTCAGCACCATGGGACTCCAGACACGCTCTGGAGTTCGTCAGTGATCCATGGAAAATTCCCTAAATTGCACAATTTTGAAACTCAATGAATATATGCCCTGATTGTGACCCGTAGAGTCAGCAAAAACATCCAGTCCTTTGGGTTTCTAATGAGATCCTTGGATTAGTTGCTTGTCGCGACTCTACAACTCTAGCCAAGTCAAACAGCTACTTTGTAATGCCAAACTTTGCTACATTAGTTGCTTTTTTCTGATAAAAACTTTATCATCACCCCTTTGGCGTAATGTAAAGAAGCTTGGCATTGGCAAGCAGTAAAACTCAATTCCATTATAGGGCCTATACCCAATACACGATGATGATGTCTATACAGCCATCACGTTTTCGTGTATGCGGGAGTTGGTGATGATGTCTTCACGGCCATTGGAGAAAGGTAGTCAGAATTTTTGCCGCGATCACGGGTGACGATAACCTTAATAGACTACAACGTATTACCCAATGTTAAATATCCAAATAATTGTTGTAATCTCATGATTACATTGACAACTGTAACTGCGTTTGTTTACCTCAAAAGTCAGTTAAGCGACCCTATTATTTTTTGTCTCATTCTTAATGGTTTATCTATTGTTCAGCATCCCAAGGGTTCCGATAATTTATTCAAGAGATAAGAGGTGTCCTACTCTATAAATGGCTAAAACTGAAACTAATGGTAGTACAAAGACAGATGATGGCTTAATTTGTTGGACAAATTCAATAAAATGTCAATCAAAGTTGTGCGAAATTCCATTCAAGAGATATTATTACAATACAATCACTGTATCAGTTTATCAATTTTCCCGACTATTCAAAGTTTGATAAATCGTCAATTCGGATTCAATTAAATCATTCGGTCGTTCATCCGAATTAACAATTTCAGCTTCCCAGTTCCACTTTGTGACCTGGGTCTACTTCATTGCAACCAAATTTGTAGGTTATGTTTTTACGTCTTTTGTTTTGAGATCAAAACTGTTATATTTTACTCATGAATTAATGATACCGTACATCACCAATTCGGATACAATGAATCATATTCGGTCATGCATCCGAATTGACGGTGTCCGAATTGATGATTTCAGCTTTCGAGTTCCGCTACGTGATCAGGGTCTACCTAATTGCAACCAAATTTGTAGGTTATGTTCTTAACTTCAACTTTTGTTTTGATGAGATAAAAACTGTTATAGGGCCTAATAGTTGGAATTAGTGATGTAAAATACCCAGGTATTTAAAACTCGGGGTAAATACCCTGGGTATTTACCCAGGTAAATACCCAAAATTCATAAATACCCGGGTATTTTGGGTATTTATGAAATCATTTGAAATTCTTTTTTATCTACCCCTAAATATGTTATTGTTATCATTACATGATAAATTAGGATAGTCTATTTCACCTTACAGTAACTTGAAGCTTTGCAGAATTGCTAGTACCTTTTATTTAATGATTTAGCACTTGTTTTTATGAAATCAAGACAACACCTCATCAGAGAAATAGTGAACCTAAATCTACTTCTACTGTTATTAAATTATGATAGTTAAAATTTGTATGTGTAAATGGCTTGGAAGGCTAGACAGACCCAAGGCCTGATTGATATAGGCAGAATGGCAGAATACTGAATGTACAGTAGACTCCCTCTTATCCGGACTCCTCGGGACCGAGGCTAGTCCAGATAACAGGTTTTCTGGTTAAACCGACGTCCCCAAAAACTTGTTAAAACAGAAACCGTGTACTGGTACTGTCATATTCGACTTTAATTTAGGAGAGCATTGTATTTAGATACGTGATCACTGGTCTCAAATCTTTCCCACGAGAACAGTCGTTTCAGTACCGCTCACTTCTTGCCAATCTAGTCAGGTTAAACCAATGGGCTGATAAAAATTGTCCGGTTAAAAGGTGTCCGGATAAGAGGGAGTCTACATTAAACCAATCTGTGTTACCGCTTAGTTGGGAACAATAATATATTTGGATAAAC